TGAAGCAATTCTCTTTTTCATTATATTCAGTAAATATTTATTGGTTTAAAGATGTGTTATTAATGTTTTCATTCATACCACTTGCCACTTTGAATTGTACCTTGTTTTAATTGTTATAGTCATTTTGAATGCCATCTTGTTTTATTTTTATTTTTTTTCAAGACAGAGTCTCGCTCTGTCACCCAGGCTGGAGTGCAGTGGCACAGTCTCAGCTCACTGCAACCTCTGCCTCCTGGGTTCACGCAGTTCTCTGTCTCACCTTCCCAAGTAGCTGGGATTACAGGCACCCGCCAGCAAGCCCAAGTAATTTTTGTATTTTTAGTAGAGATAAGGTTTCACCATCTTGACCAGGCTGGTCTTGAACTCCTGACCTCATGATCCACCCATCTCAGCCTCCCAAAGTGCTGAGATTACAGGTGTAAGCCACCGCGCCTGGCCCACCACCTTGTTTTGAGTGATTTAGAACCATTCCATATTAGTAAGACCATCCAGATAAACCTTTTAAAAGGTCCAATAATAGACTAGCAGAGAGCCAAATCATGAGTGAACTCCCATTCACAGTTGCTACAAAGAGAAGAAAATACCTAGAAATATAACTTGCAAGGGACATGAAGGACCTCTTCAAGGAGAGCTACAAACCACTGCTCAAGAAAATAAGAGAGGACATAAACAAATGGAAAAAAATTCCATGCCCTTGGGTAGGAAGAATCAATATTGTGAAAATGGCCATACTGCCCAAAGTAATTTATAGATTCAATGCTATTTCCATCATGCTACCATAGACTTTCTTTGCAGAATTAGAAAAACTTACTTTAAATTTCATATGGAAAGAAAAAAGAGCCCGTATAGCCAAGACAATCCTAAGCAAAAGAACAAAGCTGGAGGCATCACACTACCTGACTTCAAACTATACTACAAGGCTAGTAACCAAAACAGCATGGCACTGGTACTGAAACAGAGATATAGACCAATGGAACAGAACAGAGATCTCAGAAATAATACTACACATCTATAACCATCTGATCTTTGGCAAACCTGACAAAAACAAGCAATGGGGAAAGGATTCCCTATTTAATAATGGTGCAGGGAAAACTGGCTAGCTATATGCAGAAAAGAGAAACTGGGCCCCTTCCTTATACCTTATACAAAAATTAACTGAAGATGGATTAAAGACTTAAATGTGAAACCCGAAATCATAAAAACCCTAGAAGAAAACCTAGACCGTACCATTCAGGACATAGGCATGGGCAAAGATTTCATGACTAAAACACCAAAAGCAATTGCAACAAAAGCCAAAATTGACAAATGGGATCTAATTAAAATGAAAGAGCTTCTTCACAGCAAAAGAAACTATCATCAGAGTGAACAGGCAGCCTACAGAATGGGAGAAAATTTTTGCAATCTACTCATCTGACAAAGGTCTAATATCCAGAATCTATAAGGAACATAAACAAATTTACAAGAAAAAAACCAGCCCCATCAAAAAGTGGGCGAAGGATATGAACAGACACTTCTCAAAAGAAAAGAAGACATTTATGTGACCAATAAACATATGAACAAAAGCTCAACATCACTGGTCATTAGAGAAATGCAAATCAAAACCACAATGAGATACCATCTCACTCCAGTTAGAATGGTGATTATTAAAAAATGAGGAAACAACGGATGCTGGCACAGCTGTGGAGACATAGGAATGCTTTTACACTGTTGTTGGGATTTTAAATTAGTTCAACCATTGTAGAAAACAGTGTGGTGATTCCTCAAGGCTCTAGAACCAGAAATATGATTTGACTCATTACTGGGTATATATCCAAAGGATTATAAGTCATTCTGCTATAAAGACACATGCACACATATGTTTATTGCAGCCCTGTTTACAGCAGCAAAGACTTGGAACCAACCCAAATGCCCATCAGTGATAGACTGGATAAAGAAAATGTGGCACATATACACCATGGAATACTATGCAGCCATAAAAAAGGATAAGTTCATGTCCTTTGCAGGGATATGGAGGAAACTAGAAGCCATAATTCTCAGCAAGCTAACACAGGGATAGAAAACCAAACACCACTTGTTCTCCCTCCTATGTGGGAATTGAACAATGAGAATACATGGCATGGACAAAGGGAGGGGAACACCGCACACCGGGGCCTGTCAGGGGGTGGGGGTCAAGGGAAGGGAGAGCATTAGGACAAATAACTAATGGATGTGGGGCTTAAAACCTACATGATGGGTTGATTGGTGCCCCAAACCACCATGGCATGTGTATACCTGTGCCACAAACCTGCACGTTCTGCATGTGTATCCCAGAACGTAGTAAAATAAAAATACAAAAGACAAAAAAAAAAAAACAAAAAAACCACAACATCAAGTGTAGTATAACAATAAATAAAACACTGCCCTTGCTCTCAAGAAAACTATTCTAAGACAAAAGTGATTATTGGAGCAAAATGGGGAGCAAAATGCAAGGACACCTCCCCAGACTTTTGAGGTGGAGGGGAAGTCAAGGAAACCCACTCAGAGAAAGTGACAGGTGTGAACTGAGTCCTGATGTATCCTAGATTTGGAAAAAAAAAATTCAATCCTTATAATCCATACACAAAATTAAAGTCAAGGTGGATTAAAGAGCTAAACATAAAAGTAATAAAAGTATTAGGCCAGGCACATTGACTCACGCTTGTAATCCCAGCACTTTGGGAGGCCGAGGCAGTCAGATCACTTGAGATCAGGAGTTTGAGACCAGCCTGGTTAACATGGTGAAACCTCATCTCTACTAAAAATACAAAAATTAGCTGGGTGTGGTAGTGCACACCTGTAATCCTAGCTACTTAGGAGGCTGAGGCAGGAGAATTGCCTGAATCCAGGAGGTGGAGGTTGCAGTGAGCTGAGATTGCATCACTGCACTCCAGCCTGGCGACACAGCAAGACTCCATCTCAAAAAAAAAAAAAAAAAAGTAATTACAATGTTAAAAAACAACAAAGAAACAAAGGATGCTATTGACAGAAATTTCAGTAAATTCTGGAAGAAAGAAAGAAAGTGGTTGTAAGGTGGTCTGTGGAAGAGCAGAGAAAACTACCAGCCTCTCTGGGAACTGGAGCAAAGATGAGAGTCTGTCTTCCAGAGAAGAAGCAGAGACTCTGGGTTCCAAACTCAGAGGCTGTGAACGTAAGTGGTAAAAGTGGCTCATGGGCCGATTTCTGCGTGATTAATTAAAGGATGGCCTGCTGACATCTTTGGGCCAGTTGCTCTCTTCCCCTTCTGATCATATCCAGAAGACATACATAGCATTGGAGGTACCCACCTCCAGGCTGAATCCCTGAGGATTTTTCACTAAACAAACTGGAGAGTCTGCTTTGGGATGCCCTAATTTGGGTAAGAAAGCCAGAAAGAGACACAGAATAGAATCTAAGATAACTCCAGAGCTCCACCATAGCATAGAAAGAAGGAAAAAGTCAGCTCCATTCAGGAAGGAAGTACACAAAAGTCCTCCATACTCTGAGTAAAGCTCTCCTTATTTAAGCAGATCTCAGTTTTGTTGAGATATAATTCACATACCATAAATTCACCTTTTAAAAGTAGAGAAGTCAATGGTTTTGTTTGTTTGTTTGTTTTTGAGATGGAGTCTCACTCTGTCTCCCAGGCTGGAGTGCAATGGTGCAATCTTGGCTTACTGCAAGTAATCCGCCTCCTGGGTTCAAGCAATTCTCATGCCTCAGTCTCCTGAGTAGCTGGGATTACAGGAACGTGCCTCCATGCCCGGCTAATATTTTGTATTTTTAGTAGAAGCAGGGTTTCACCATGTTGACTAGGCTGGCTCGAACTCCTGGTCTCAGGTGATCCACCCGCCTTGGCCTCCCAAAGTGCTGGGATTACAGGTGTGAGCCACCACACCCGGCAAGTCAATGGTTTTTAGTAAATTCACAGATAGGTCCAACTATCACCACAGTCAATTTTGGTACATTTTCATTGCCTCTAAAAGACACCCTATGTCCTTCAGCTGTCACCTCCGAATTCCCCAATTCTCCCAACGCCTGACAACCACTAATCCACTTTCTGTCTCTGTAGACTTGCTACTTTGGACATTTCATATAAATGGAATCACACAGTATGTGGCCTTTTGTGTGTGATTTCTTTCGTTCAGTGTAATGTTTCCAAGGCTCATCCATGTAGCGTATATCAGTACCCTGTTCCTTTTTATGGCCAAGTAGTATTTCATTGTATGGATGTACCACATTTTTTCTGTCCGTCCATCAGTTGATGGGCATTTGAGTTGTTTCCACACAGAGCAGATTTTTAAAGCAGAGAACCCTCAGTTGGCATGCCCCATGCAACTAGCTGCCCCCAGCTTGCCATTCAGGGAAGAGAGAGGCCTGTTGGAGAAATAGGTTTGTATGATTGCAGAGGAAAACCACGCTACTTCTTCCATTAAACTCCTGCTTAATTTATAACTATGAATAGATAATTAAAGATCACTAAAATTTTTTTAAAATCATCAATCAGCATGAAACAGAAGGAGCAAGATGAAAAACAAACTTGCCCCCAAGGGAAAAACAAGTAATTCAGGAAACATGCATAAGGTAAGATGAGGCTGTGGGCAAGGAGCACAGTCTGGATTTTGCTGATTGTATTCTCTGGTGTTAGTGAACTCATTCTTCCATCCTCTGTGTTTGTAATTCTTTTCATTGCTAGTTGAACCTAGAAGCTTAGATTCAAGTTCTATTTTCTTCTTTTGGCAAAACTCATACAAAGGTAGGGGTATGTTCTATCGGGAGAAACACTGGTTGTCTCCTTTTGTGGTGTTAATAGCCATTGATACTCAATGCCTGGATTCCATTCATTCATTAAGGGCTTGTATTAATTTAAAGTAATTTCAAAGAAAAATTAATTTTCAAAAGAAAAAAATTTTAAAACTATCTGTCCACTGGTATAGTAGATACAAATTAAAAGAACAAAGCTTATGCCAGTTCTAAAATGTTATCAACCCATTTCTCTGTTACAGCAGTTGAGCCAGTTTTGGTATAGTCAGGAAACTGCTCTGCGACTTGCACAGGAGGCAACTGCAGCTGTGGGAGAAGGTGGCAGGTGAGATTCAAATTTTGTTTCTCTTTTTGGCTTCTAATCTAATGGAATATTTTGAATGTCCTTTCTGGATGACAGATGGTTTGTAAGAAGTCTGAACTGTAATCTGCAAATATTGTAGATCATGGTTTGCAGCACATGACAGATTAAGACCTGCTTCAACACTGGGTTTAGAGACCCACTCAGAAACCTATTCATTGTGGAAGGTCTTATCTCTTTTCCTTTTAACATTTTCTAACCTGTTTCTTATCCTTATAGAGTTCAGTTCAAAAGAGAAAATCTTAATGTTTGACCATTTTGAAGTTTTAAGAATATAGGTTTTCTTTTTCGTTAATTTGGTATGTATGTATGTATTTATTAATTATTTATCTTGAGATGGAGTCTCGCTCTGTCGCCCAAGCTGGAGTGCAGTGGTGCGATCTCGGCTCACTGCAACCTCCACCTCCCGGATTCAAGCGATCTCTTGCCTCAGCCTCCAAGCAGCTGGGACTACAGGCACCCGCCACCACGCCCAGCTAATTTTTGTATTTCTAGTAGAGACGGGGTTTCACCATATTGACCAGGCTGGTCTCAAACTCCTGACCTTGTGATCCACTTGCCTTGGCCTCCCAAAGTGCTGGGATTACAGGCGTGAGCCTCCACGCCCAGCCTGGTTTTTACTTTTATCAGAACTTTGCATGCATATAAAGAGTCAAATGGTGACTGGGCGTGGTGGCTCATGCCTGAAATCCCAGCACTTTGGGAGGCTGAGGCGGGCAGATCACCTGAGGTTAGGAGTTTGAGACCAGCCTGGCCAACATGGTGAAACCCCGTCTCTACTAAATACAAAATTAGCTGGGCGTGGTGGTGCATCCTGTAATCCCAGCTACTCAGGAGCCTGAGGCAGGAGAATTGCTTGAACCTGGGAGGCAGAGGTTGCAGTGTGCCAAGATCACACCACCGCACTCCAGCCTGAGAGACAGAGTAAGACTCTGTCTCAAAAAAAAAGAAAAAAAAAAAAGCCAAAGGGTTCTAAAAGGCTTAATGTATTCTATATCCATATCCCTTATTAACCCCCGAACTCTCTGTCTAAATATCCTATCAGTAAGTTCAAACATATTTCAACTTCTTTAAAAAAAACCTGTTCCCAGGGCTCTGCCACCTGTCCCAGTCTGCATGGTCTCACGCTGGTTTTGCTCCACCTCTTTTCTTGGTATCTCCCTTCATCATCATGCTGGAGTCCTTATACCTGTCTTTCGTTCTAGATTCCCTATTTCCCGTACCCCATCCTAAGTTTACAGCCTTATCATGCTGGCGTACCTCCTCCGATAGCTGCTACAGAAAAGGCACGTAGGACGGGAGTTTTTAGAACCTTTCATGTCTGAAAATGCTTTTTTCCTACCCTTCCTCTTGATTGTGATGGTTTTGTTGGACAGCACATTCCAGGTTTTGAAGGCGTTGCTCCATTGTCTCCAAACTTCCATACATGCTGTTGAGAAATCCAGTAGCATTCTGATTTCTTATAGGAAACTTGCTTTTTTCTATCCATCCCCAGTATTCAATGTGCCTCACTGTGGAGTTTTTATCTGTTGTCCTGGGTACTGGAGCGCCTTTCATCCTCAACACACATGTCCTTCCGTTTAAGAAATTATCTTACATTATTTTTTTGATTTCTTTCTCCACTTTTTTTTTCTGTTCCTCTTTTTGGAACTTCTTTGAATACTGTACCTGATCTTTTAATTTTCTTCTTTTTCTATTTATTTTGTCTTTACTTTCTGGGAGAATTCCTCAACTTTATCTTCTAAACTTTCTACTGAGTTTACCATACCTGCTACCATGCTTGGAATTGTCTGCAGCTCTGTTTTTTTGGTCTTTGGGTATTTCTTTATTATTGTGTCTTGTTCATCCTTCTGAGGATATTACAGAATTTTTTAAAGTTCTCTTTTCCCTCTATAGTCTCTGTTTACCTCAAAATGCTTTTTCTGTTTGTTAATTTCATGTGATATATTTATATAATCTGTGTTCCTTAAGTGTCTGTGGACATTGAAGGGTGGGGCACTCAAAAACTGGGAGCCTCATCTGCTTTGATCTCTACAGTTGGAGCATCTGAATGAGCCATTCTCTTAGGGAACCCCCGTGTCTAAGACTTTTCTTGTAGTTTTGTCAGTGGTCCAGGGAAGGTTCTCCTAATTCCTGACTGGAAGTTACACATCTAGTTGACATCATCCTTGGAGGCATGTGACTGAAAGGCTGGAAGTTTCATCGTCCACTGCATTTAACTTAATCCTCCTAATTTCCACACAGCACATCATCATCCACTGTGCCTGGCATCCATCCTCCTTCCAAGCATCCCCCCATCCAGAAAACATCCCTCCAGTTTTCTGCCACCGTCATGGGGAGGCAGGCTTTGGGATATAGCAGATAATCCTGAGAAAGAATGCTTCTTAAAATAGGCCTTTCAGTGAAACCTCCCAGTTTTGGCCCCACCTTCACCTCTGCTTCTTGAGTTACCGAGTTCTGTGGCTTCCTGAGCCCTCGCGTGTGCCACCTCGTGAACCAGGGTGCTTCTCAGCTTTCCGGGTGCCAGTGCAGGATTCGGCCATTGCAGGTCTGCCGAGCCCCACTACCCACCCATCTGCTCTTCCGCTTCCTCAGCGTGATTGCTTTAGTCTCCGCTGACACACTCCTTGGTTTTTGTTCTTGCATTCCTAAATAAGACAACATGAAATCGCACTCTTGTTTTTAGTGGGCTTTCATGAGGGAGCACATTTACGTGAATGTGTTCAGTCTGAAATCCCAGCACTTTGGGAGGCTGAGGCGGAAAAATGGGAAATCTTCCATTTTTCTTTTCACTGTTCTTTTTCTTTTTTTGATTATATGTAGTCGTTTAGTAGGTTTTTCTTAGTGACACTGCTTTTACATATACTTTCCTTTTTGCCACTAATACGAGGGCCTTGGAAGCAACTTTTAATCTCATCTGAAAGTCAACTTCAGTATTCATAGGAACTGAGTCATCATTTTAAAGATGAGTAGGAACTGCATTTCTTGAGTGCTTACTGTGTGCCCTCTCCTGCTGTAAGTGTGTTGTCAGGGTCATCTCATTCTATCCTCGCATCTCTGTGCATTAGTTCTTGTTACACTCTCCAGTTTAAAGACAGACACTGAGTCCAGAGGTTCAGCTACTTGCAGAAGGTCACCCCGTGGAAGTGGCAAAGCTGGGCTTTCAACATAGGTTCTCTGATCCCACTGCTGGCAGGTAACCACCACCATCCCCACCAGACCCACCAGTCTTTCTGCTCTCATTCCTTCTTGCATCCTGGACCACTGTCCTACCTGAAGTACATCCTTCAGGTGGATTTCTCAGGGAACGCCTGCTGGAGGCAATTTTGTTGTCTGAAAATATCTTTATTTCACCTTCTTTATCGGAAGATGTTTTCCTAGTGTGCGTATATAATCCTTGGTTGCAGTTCATTCTCTGTCAGCACAGTCAGGCTATAATCCCACTGTACTCCAGCTTCTTTTCCCCCTCCCACTGCACTGATCCAGAGCTGCCGTGCAGGGAGAGTTGTGTCCTGCCAGCAGGAACACATGTTTCCATAGAAACATTATGTGATGTCACTGGTTCTGTTATCTGCTGCAGTGTCTTTGGGCTGAGAAGCCTGCTTAGCCTGGCATGGGTACCTAAGATGGGTACCTTGTCTCTGTTAAGAAATGTATCACATATTTTTAAAGCTGAGCGTAATTTTTAAATTAGGTCCTTTTTTGAATGACAATATATGCACATATAAAAATCCAAACGTGACAAAGGAATTGTGAGAAAAGGTCAATCTCTTCTCCATTGTATCCACGTCCCCCAGGCACTCTCCCATGAGGCAGCCATGGTCACTGTCTCTTGGATAGAGGTCACCTGTATAACTATAAGCATATATCCCCACTCCCAGGAAAGCATACTTTACACCGTTCTGTTCCTTGAATATATCTAAGAGATCATTCCTTATCAGCAGAGAGAGGGCTGCTTCAGCCTGTTTTAAATGGCCACAGAACTTTCTATTGTAATAGGCATACCAGCTGGGCACGGTGGCTCACGCCTCCTTTGGGAGGTCAAGGCAGGCAGATGGCTTGAGCTCTGGAGTTTGAGACCAGCCTGTGTAACGTGGCAAAACTACATCTCTGCAAAAAAATATAAAAAATTAGTGGCCGGGCAGAGTGGCTCACGCCTGTAATCCCAGTACTTTGGGAGGCCGAGGCAGGTGGATCATGAAGTCAGGAATTCAAGACCAGCCTGGCCAACATGGTGAAACCCCGTCTCTACTAAAAATACAAAAATTAGCCAGGTGTGGTGGCAGGTGCCTGTAATCCCAGCTATTCGGGAGGCTGAGGCAGGAGAATCACTTGAACCTGGGAGGCAGAGGTTTCAGTGAGCCGAGGTCATGCCACTGCACTCCAGCCTGAGCAACAGAGTGAGACCCCGTCAAAAAAAAAAAAAAAAAATAGGTGTATCACAGTCAACTCAATAATTCCATGTTTAGGTTACTTCTAAGCTTTTCGGCAGTTGCTTTTATTTTTATTTTATTTATTTTGTGTTTTTGAGACAGAGTCTCACTCTGTTGCCCAGGCTGGAGTGCAGTGGCGCTATCTCGGCTCACTGCAAGCTCCACCTCCTGGGTTCACGCCATTCTCCTGCCTCGGCCTCCCGAGTAGCTGGGACTACAGATGCCCGCCACCATGCCTGGCTAATTTTTTATATTTTTAGTAGAGACGGGGTTTCACCGTGTCAGCCAGGATGGTCTCGATCTCCTGACCTTGTGATCTGCCCGCCTGGGCCTCCCAAAGTGCTGGGATTACAGGCATGAGCCACCGCGCCCGGCCAGCAGTTGGTTTTAACAGTTAACTCTTGGAACGCTACCCTTTCATAAACTGTGGGCTGCTGTAATGAGATAGATACTTTAATTTCCTTATACAATAAAGAAGCAAAGCAGAAATTCAGAACAGCTTGTCTGCAGTGAGATCGCATTTTAATGTATCTTTGTGGAGAACTGGAGTGAGCTGGGGAGCTAGTTGGGTTTATCTTTCAAGATCATGAATATTACAAAATGACTTTATAGTATTTAGTTGGGACAAAAAGTACTTAAAATAAATATCAAAGGCCTAGCATGAAAATAATAGGTAAATTTAGGCTTTGGGTTAACTTCAATCTAAATTTTGTCATAATGTGTTCCTGCTATTTTACATTTTTCACTATAAAAACTATAGTCTTTCATATCTCAAAGTTATAAGTTATAGGCTGGGCGCGGTGGCTCACGCCTATAATCCCAGCACTTTGGGAAGCTGAGGCAGGCACATCACCTGAGGTCAGGAGTTCAAGACCAGCCAAGCAACATGATGAAATCCCTTTTCTACTAAAAATACAAAAAAATTAGCCAGGCGCAGTGGCGCGTGCTTGTAATCCCAGCTACTCGGAAGGAGTAGCAGGAGAATCGCTTGAACCCGGGAGGCAGAGGTTGCAGTGAGCCGAGATCACGCCACTTCCCTCCAGCCTTGGCAACAGAGTGAGACTCCATCTCAAAAAAAAAAAATTATAAGTTACAGACTTTTAAGTACCAGATTCCTCAAAAGTGAGACACTATAAAGTTTTTTCTCAACATTGACTATTACACCAGTTTGCATTGTTTCCTGTAAGAAAATCTGAGCACTCAGACCTGTGTGTTTTTTAGTGAAGTAGTAGTAAACACCGTAATCTCTCTATTAAAGATGTTTCATGAGTGTGTTCATTTTGTCTCCTAGAATCGCATGTGTGAGTGCCCCTAGTGTTTACCAGAAACTCAGAGAGCTGTGCAGAGAAAACTTTACTGTATATATCTTTGAATATGACAAAAGATTTGCCATGTATGGAGAAGAGTTTATTTTCTATGATTACAATAATCCATTGGACTTACCCGAAAGAATTGCTGCACATAGTTTTGACATCGTAATAGCAGATCCTCCCTATCTTTCGGAGGAATGTCTCAGAAAAACATCAGAAACCATCAAGTACCTGACACGGGGCAAGATTCTGCTGTGCACAGGTAGGTGCTGCATTTCATATCTCATGAAAGTCACTGACAGTGGCTATTCAGGTCTTAAGGGTCAAGAAGAAATCCTGAGTCCACCACCTCCTGTGTGACTTGTGAACAAGTTATTTAACTCTTTGTGCCCTGGATTCCTCACCTGTAAACTAGGACTGATAATACTCTGCCATTAAGGATCCTAAAGAATTAAGTGACACAAAGTACCCAACACCGGGTCTGGTGCATGGTGACTGCTTGATGAACGCCAGCTGTTACTTTTACGTACCATCATCAGTAGTAGTGGTATTTTATCCAGCCTCTACACTTTATCAAAGAGAAATTTAGAATCTATAGAGTTTAAGTGAATTGCCTAAGGTTACAGAGTAGACATTAGATTGGGTTAATGTAGAAGATTTTTCCTACTGGTGAGATTGATACACCTTTTTTTTTCTCTCTGTAACCTCAAACCACTGGGCTAAGCAGTCTTTCCACCTCAGCCTCCCAAGTAGCTGGCAACCAGGCTGGATTTGATATACTTAAGGCAGATATGGTAAAATTCAATAGAGTAAATCTGAGAACTTTAAGGTGGGAGGAAACCTTGGGGCAAGGAATTCTAGACCAGGCTGCGCAACATAGCAAGACTCCATCTCTAGAAAAATTTAAAAAATTAGGTGTGGTTATGTGGGCCTCCCAGCCATTTGGGAGATAGAGGTGGTGTGTCTGGAGTGTCTTCCTTCTGGTGGGTTCTTGGTCTCACTGACTTCAAGAATGAAACCGTGGACCTCGCGGTGAGTGTTACACTTCTTAAAAGTGGCATGTCTGGTGTTTGTTCCTCGTGGTGGGGTGGTGCTTTCACTGATTTCAGAAATGAAGCCACAGACCCTCGTGGTGAGTGTTACAGCTCTTAAAGTTGGTGCAGACCCAAAGAGTGAGCAGCAGCAAGCTTTATTCTGAAGAGCAAAATCAAAACTTCCATACCATGGAAGGGGACAACAGCCAGTTGCGTTGCTGGCTGGGGTGGCCAGCTTTTATTCCCTTGTTTGTCCCCACCCACATCCTGCTGATTGGTCCATTTTACAGAGTGCTGATTGGTCCATTTTACAGAGTGCTGATTGGTCCATTTTACACAGTGTGGATTGGTCCATTTTACACAGTGCTGATTGGTGCGTTTACAATCCCTTAGCTAGACACAGAGTGCTGATTGATGTGTTTTTACAGAGTGCTGATTGGTGCATTTACAATCCTTTAGCTAGACACAGAGTGCTGATTGGTGTGTTTTTACAGAGTGCTGATTGGTGCGTTTACAATCCTTTAGCTAGACAGAAAAGTTCTCAAGTCCCCACTAGACCCAGGAAGTCCAGCTGGCTTCACCTCTCAGTGGGATGATTGCTTGATCTCTGGAGGTCCAGACTACAGTGAGCTGTGATGGTGCCACTACACTCTAGCCTGGGCACGGAGCAAGACTGTCTCAAAGAAAAAAAAAAATCTGAGAACTGAAACCTTACCAACTGACCCATCTCTTTACTTCTGGGCACCTGTGGTGTCCACACCCTTGAGTGCTGTTATGGACGCTATACCCCAGTCACTCCGGGCTGCGTTTGTACCCTGGGCACCCTGCTGGGAACAGGGCTGGGCCGGGAGTGGAGCCACGGGGAGCTGTTCGATGTTCTGGAGCTGGAGTGTGGGGAGGGGCGCCTTGTTCGCACAGATGCCAGGGTTGCCTGCGCGCTTATTCACTCCATTGCTTCCTTGAACTCTGTGCACCACTCTGTACCGGCAGGCAGCGCTCTGGACTCATGGAGTGTGCATTTTAGTTTCAGGGGATACTTTAAAAAAATAATAATAAAATAGACTAAAGACTGGAAGCACTAACCCTGAGAAGAGTAACAGAGACCCAGACACCTGCACTTTGCCCCAGGGAGCTGAGGGGTCAGGAGCCACGGCCGCAGCGGCCCGGGAGGGCAGAGTCGGGGCAGGAGGCCCCCAGTGCCTAACAGAGGGGACCGTGGGCATTGGGGTTTTCTTCGGAAGCCCGAGGCGACGGGACGCAAATTGTCTGAAGACGTAAGACGTTCGCTTTAACTTGACCGAGGTTTTGGGGCGCGTGAACCTTGGCACCGCGGGCTGTTGCTGCACCCCAGGGAGGGCGGTGGCGTCAAAGAGATACTTTGAAGATGAAGTTGAGAGAGCTTGCTGTGTTCGAGTGTGGAGGGGAAAAGAGGAGAGGAATCAGGGCTGTGGATGCCACCTCCTGCGGGGATGTCGCAGGGTAGCTGGCTGTGTGCGGTGGGCCCAGGGCAGGGAGAAATTGGGAGGAGGTGGCAAAAGGGAGTGGGAATACATTCGCACCTGTGTTTGCAAGATTGGATATTACTGAAAAAGAGTCTCGGCTCAACGTTGGGAAATGCTAGTTTTTAGTAATAATTTTTGCTTTGCATATATATGTGTGTGTTTTGCACACATATATTAAATTGCAAAAATATTGGAGAAGGTGAAACGGAATGTAAAGAAGACTCGCTCCCTCCCCCTACTTGTGAATTGTCAACTAATTGCCACCGGTGGTTCACCTAGAGCCCCTCTCACAGCTCAGGACACACTGAGCTCTGGCTGGGCTGTCACTCTCTGGATTCATTTGCTTTGTTCTCTTCAGGTGCCATCATGGAAGAACAGGCAGCAGAGCTCCTTGGAGTGAAGATGTGCACGTTTGTTCCAAAACACACCCGGAACTTGGCAAATGAGTTCCGCTGTTATGTGAATTATGATTCTGGGCTGGACTGTGGGATCTAATTACAGATGGTGACATAACCAAGGAAGGAACCCTGTCACATTCCCCTTTTTGTATTTTCCTAGTAGATTTAAAATATATACTCTCTTCCCCTCCCCCCAAACTGGAGCCGACCTTGCCTGATTTTCAAAATAAAGTACATGACCTTCATTATTGTTTCCTTAGGGAGGGCCTGGCCTCCCTAGAGCTCAGTCTTCTGCCAACCTGAATCCATGGAATTCGACTTGGAAGAAACCTTAGAACCTGCCTGATGTACTCTCCTCGTTTAACATATGTAAAAACACCAGAACAGTTGCGTGGCTTGCCCAAGGGCTCCTGAATGAGACAGGATCTTGGCCTCTGCCTTGGGCCAGAGCAGTCTGGTAGCATCCTAGGGGTTGTGAGGACCCCCACCCCCATGTCCCACCCCAGCCCTCCAAGGACACAGACTTGCCTCCATGAAAAAAGGCAATAATCCAATAACTAGCATCTGAATGCCTCTTGGAGCTCTCCTCCTCCAGGTTCTAGGTGGGCTGCGAGGGATGACAGGTGCCCAGGTGCCCTCCCCACGTGGCTCAGACTCAGCACCCTCCCTCTGAACTGCCTGAGAAAATGAAAGACCCATTTGTAAACCAAACACCAGGACCAAAAAATGAAGCTGGGACGAGAGTGCTAGATTCTCAACTGTTCAGAAAATATGCCTCTGTGCATACCCCAGAGCACGTCTCAGCAATCAGAAGTGAACACGCAGCATGGCTGGGTCTCGAGGGCGTGATGCTGATGAAGAGCTGCGCCGCACAGGCCACACACTGGATGTTTCTAGGCATGACATTCCAGGGAGGAGGGATTCGTGGGTGCAGGGGGAGCATCAGGATGGGGCGAAGGGGATGGGTGGCCCACAAAGGGGAGTTCTCCTCGCTGGTGGCGTGTTCTTTGTCTTGTCTGTGGTGGTGGCTTCATGAACGTGCCATGTGGCAGCATCGCATAGAACCGCACAGAGATGAGCTCGTGTGAAACTGTTGAACTTGGAATGGGGTCTGTGGGTTGGGCCAGTGTCCATTTTCTGATTGTGACACTGCACTATAATTATGTAAGATGTTACCATTAGGTAAACTCGGTGTAGGGCATGAGACCTGTCAGTATATTTTTGCAATTTCCTCGGAATCTACAATCATTTCAAAATAAAAACTTTCCAAAAAATTAGTGCCCTCTTTCTGGGAAAGGATTATACTTCCCCACCTGATAAGACTTGCTTTGGCCAACAAAATGTGAAAGATGGCCGGGTGCTGTGGCTGCTGTGGCTCGTGCCTGTAATCCCAGCACTTTGGGAGGCCAAGGAAGGCGGATCAGTTGAGTCCAGGAGTTCGAGACCAGCCTGGGCAACATGGTGAAACCTTGTCTCTACCAAAAATTAAAAAAAATTAAAAAATTAGCTGGGCATGGTGGCACACTTCTGTAGTCCCAGCCACTTGAGAGGCTGAGGTGGGAGGATCACCTGAGCCCAACAGGGCGAGGCTGCCGTGAACCGTGATGCACCACTGCACTCCAGCCTGAATGACAGAGCCAGACCCTGTCTCAAAAACAAAAACAAAAAAACCCCAAAATGTGAAAGGAAGTGATGTGTCATTTCCAGCCTCTGGCTGTGAGTGGAGCAGGGCCACCGCCCACCTGCCAGGGATGCGAGGAGAACCAGGAATGAGCCTGTGTCATTGAACCATGGGCTTATTACCCACTAGAGCAAAACCCAGTCTGTCGTGACCAAGCCAGAGAGGAGGCCTGGGTCAGGGAAGCCTGGAGGACAGGCCTGGTCTCTTTTGCTGCTGCTTAGCCCTCAGCTGCCCGACTTCTGGACAACTTTTAATTTACTTTAAAAATCACTCTTTTCAGCGTGGTGACTCACACCTGAAATCCCAGCACTCTGGGAGGCCGAGGCAGGTGTATTACCTGAGGTCAGGAGTTAAAGACCAGCCTGGTCAACATGATGAAACCCCGTCTCTACTAAAAACACAAAAATTAGTTGGGCATGGTGGCGGGCGCCTGTAATCCCATCTATTCGGGAGGCTGAGGCAGGAGAATCACTTGAACCTTGGAGGCAGAGGTTGCAGTGAGCTGAGATGGTGCCATTGCACTCCAGCCTGGGTGATGAACAAAACTCGATCTCAAAAAAAATCACTCTTTTTATGAGACATTGGTATTTTTATCACTGTACAGGCACCTGGCCTTTGTTAAGTATTCAGTAAGTGTTCTTTTAAAAATAACCCCTACCTTATTATTTCCATATGTAGTTTGCTCTGTGTGTAATTTGTTACATTGTAGTAACAAACTATGTACAGAAATGCAATGTTTAACTTAGGAACTGTGGGAGAGTAGTAGTCTAGAAATAACAGAATTGTAGTTGTCCTATAAATCCAGCGTTTAGTTGAAGAGAAACCTTATTTTTTCACAGGAGGTGAGGGAGAGAAGGGACAAAGTTGGATTCCTATCAAAAAATGTACAAACATTGTAAGTTAGGAGGCTTATGAAATGAGGTGACGGCATTTTTTGTTTAATAAGCAGCCAACATGTTTCATGGCTTTAGACCCTGGTGTGATTTTGATTTTAGCAAATCTGTGTTCGTATGTGATCCACTTCTAGGTTTCATAAAAGGCCATCTATACCTCTGCAACCTTATATTTAAAAACACTCATTAGGCCTGGTATGTTCCTTTGGGCGGTTAATTAGGTGGGAGGCGTTGGGCTGGGCGATGCCCACAGTTGTCATGCTATCTGGAATCCCCAAGGCTCCCTCACCGCCTGTACCTTAGCAAAGCACTGCAGAGGTTAAAAGGAATGTTTTTAATCCACGTTTTTTAAGTCCTTCCTGATTCGTGGGAAGGGGTAGAAGAAGCAAAAAATTAGGCTGGACATGGTGGCGCGCAACTGTAATCCAGCTACTCAGGAGGCTGAGGCAGGAGAATCACTTGAACCTAGAGGCGGAGGTTGTGGTGGAGCCAAGATCACGCCATTGCACTGCAGCCTGGAAAACAAGAGTGAAACTCCATCTCAATTAACAAAAAAAAAAAAGGGCTGGATGCGGTGGCTCACACCTGTAATCCCAGCACTTTGGGAGGCCAAGGTGGGGGATCACGAGGTCAAGATTCAAGACCAGCCTGGCCAAGATGGTGAAACCTGTCTCTACTAACAATACAAAATTAGCTGGCACGGTGGTGGGTGCCTGTAGTCCCAGTACTCAGGAGGGCTGAGACAGCAGAATTGCTTGAACCGGGAGGCAGAGGTTGCAGTAAGCCTGAGATCGTGGCACTGCACTCAGTCTGGTGACAGAGCAAGATTCTGTCTCAAAACAAAACAAAACAAGCAAAAAAACAAACAATAAACCTGACAAGTAAAATAATAAAAGAAAATAAACAAAATGTAGAACTTTAACTGGGCAGCAGCTTTTAAATATAATATGTTGAAACATTAGAGTGGGGGCTAAGGCCTGGGAAGGTACTGTTTCAAAGACAAGATCTTTTTGGGACAAAATTTTTTTCCTCTTGCCTAAAAACTGAAGGGTTTTTTTTGGTGGAGGGATGTTTCGGAGAGATGGGGAGGTTGGTATATGTGTTTTATTCAAAATAAGGAAGTTTTACTGGCTAGATAAATTGTGGCCCAGCGAAAGTTCAGTGACATCTCCCTCCCTACTCCCCAGATCCATCCTTGGATTTATTTCACACATTTCCCTCCATGCCTTTTCATTCCAGGATTTGTGTGGGGGGACAACACCATCTGATATTGGCACATTTCAGAGCTTCTTCCCCTTCCCTCCCAGAAAAGTGCCAGTCTTCCGTCGACATGGAATTCTACTGGAGGCAGTCTGTGGAGCAACCTTTGGAATGGAGGGCGCTTTGCCTGGTTCCTGAAGATCGTTTCCAAGTGACAGGTATTTCAATTATATACTTGTTCTACAAAAAAGGATCATTTGGGAACAGAAATCCAAAAACACTCTGCAAATACCAACGAGTTCCCACCAGTCCAGGGGCCAAGTTAGTCTCATTATGGTCTTACCCGCCATCTCTTCCAGCAGGGCAAAGGGGGGAAAATGGTCCATTTTTAGTAACTGGTGCCAGTCTGATTTTTAGGAAGGAATGAAAGGAGGAGTACGGACGCCCATCTGAAATGGGGTCTTCAAGTTCCCGCATCGCCTTTCATCTGTTTCTTGCCGTGTTCAGGCTCATCACCCCAGAACACATCTGAAGAGTTTCTTGAGAAAGCGCATGGAAATTTTGTTTAGCAAAACAGGAAATTCCTTCTTCTACCCCTTCCCACGAATCAGGAAGGACTTAAAAAACGTGGATTAAAAAACATTCCTTTTAACCTCTGCAGTGCTTTGCTAAGGTACAGGCGGTGAGGCGAGCCTTGGGGGATTCCAGATAGCATGGACAACTGTGGGCAGGTCAGGCCCAGCCCAACGCTCCACCATAATTAACCGCCAAAGGAACATACCAGGCTAATGAGTGGTTTTAAATATAAGGTTGCAGGATGGTATAGATGGCCTTTTATGAAAACCTAGAAGTGGATCCCCGG